CCCCCCAGCTGCTCCCCACGCCCCACCACCCAGGTGCTACACATGCCACCACCCCCAGCCATCTCAGGCTGCTATGCTTGCTAACTCCCCCCCCCAATCTCTGTCTGCTATGCATGCCAACCCCTCTCCCTCCTCAGGCCACTATATGTGCCCACTCCATCCCCCCTTCTCTGGTTGATATGTGTGCCAACCCCCACCCCACATCTCTGGCTGCTATGCTTGCCAATCCCCCCACCTTCTGGCCATTTCACTCTCCAACCCCACCCCCATCTCAGACTTCTACACTCGCCCACCCCTCCATCTCTGATTGCTACCCTCACCATCTCCCCTACCCATCTCAGGCCACTATGCTCTACCATTGCCTGCTCCTGTACCCACCCTTGTTCCTGAACCCTCCCCCCTGGCCAGACACTCAACCCCCAGCCTACTCCTGCACCCTTCCTCCTGGCCAGACTCTGCACCCTCACCCTATTCTGCACCCCACCTCCCACCCAGGTCTTGTACCCTCCCTCCGGGGCGTGTGTGGGAGGAGGGAGGAAGGAGGCCACACAGATCCTGCCTCCCCAGCCCCCGGAGCAACAGGAGTGGGGAGGAAGGGGGCTGCGTGGCTCCTGCCTCCCCAGAGCGCCTGTGTGCAGCTCTTGTCCATGTGCAGCTGCTGCAGCAGCTCTCCCAAGGGCTGTGGGGCAGCCGGGGGGGCATGCTTGGATGGCAGAGGGGATGCAGTGTGGCTGGGGGGGATGCGGGGTGGTCTCAGATGGCAGAGGGGACCTGGTGTGGCCAGGTTCAGGCTCAGATGCTGGAGGGGACCCAGGCCCAGCAGCTTCGCCCCAGCAGTGCAGCCCATGTCCAGAGGGGACAGCGCCAGGTGGCTGAGGATGGAGGTGGAAGTGGAAGTGGGTGGTGTCAGCAGCATGAGGACGCAGATGACGTGATGGTGATGTCAGCAGCATGAGGACGCAGATGACGTGATGATATAACACACATAACTATAAATATATATATAAATAAGAGAGAGGGATATTAGGGCATAAGCTTTCATGAGCTACAACTCACTTCCTTCGTTACTGAAGAGAAAAGAAAGGAAGAAAAAAGGATACAGAGATGAGTGTGTCACATCAGTGCTAATTAAATCAGAGTGGCATGTGGCTCTCTCCAACAGTGATGGAAAGGTGAGAGTACCTGAAAGGGACATTACCTGTTGTAATGCAAGAACCACTCTACTCTACTCTAGGGATATTTTGAAATAACCTCCCTTTTTTCAAAATAAGCAGAGTCTCTACACTACCAAGCCTGTTATTTCGGAATAACGGGCTGGTTATTTCAAAATCTGTATTCCTGCTTTCCTCAGGGAATAACTTTTATTTCAAAGTAGCAGTAGGGTGGATGCTCCACTGCTGCTAGTTCGAAATACCCAGGGCTCACCAAGCGTCGGTGAGCCCCGCTCGCCAGCCGCGCGGTTCGGCACACTGCGCATGCGCTTACCGTGCTGCGTGGCTGTGCCAGCTTGTAATCTACTTGCCACAGGCGAGTAGATCACACTAATTGTCAAGCCCTGGAAATAACTACTCCCCAGAGTCATTCAAAGTAATTACTCCCCAGTGCTTCCTGGGCCTCTTAGTCGAGGTAGCATGTCCACATAAAGGGAGGCTCCCCCGTAGTGGGGACATGCTATTTCAATTGTGTTATTTCAGGAGTTATTTCGAATTTTGTCTAGCGTAGACATGCCCAATGTATCTATTTAAATCTAGTTTCAGGGTGTTACATTTGCATATGAATTTCAACCCAGCAGTTTCTCTCTGCAGTCTGCTTTTTGAAGTTTTCTGTCTGAGACTGGCAACTGTGTGACCCAGAGAAGTTAAAGTGCTCCTGCACTGGCTTTGGGAAGTTACCATTCTGAATGTTTGATTTGTATCCATTTATTCTTTTGCGTACAGGCAATCCCATTTGTCCAAGGTTCATGGCAGAGGGGCGTTGTTGGCACATGATGGCATGTATTATATTAGTAGATATGCACATGAATGACCTTTGATTCAGTTAAGTTACTGTATAGCCTAAAGCACTATCGAGGTAGTCCATGTCTTATGATACATGGTATAAAGTACACACAACTATAAGCAATTGTACTATTGGATCTGTTGAGGGATTTTAACATTTTTTCCCCTGATGCAAGAGTTTGTAATGTTGATTTGTAACATTTTACTTTATTTCTGACTAGATCTTGACCTCCCACTGATGTACATCTCCCATTTCAGCCCAATGGAATCTTGACTCTTTCCTTTCCAGGAGAGCTGAACTAGGCCCTCGCTTACTTCTGTTTCTGAATTTTATGAATATTTGTTCCCTGACCAGTCCTATATAAATGTTTCAACACCATACTGTATGCATCTCAGAATCTGCACTCACCTCTTTATTAGTTAGCCCTTAATCTCTTTTCTTAGGGCCTGTGAAATACCGAGCACCTTGCAGAAAGTGGGGACCGAGGGACCTCACATCTACTTGAGTGGGAGCTAGGGTTATTCATATCATCTAGAAAGAAGTACTTGGCTCTCCCAAGGCTCAGGCCTATAACATTTCTTCCCCTCCTTTCCTCAGCCCATTTGCCAAGCAGCTTATGATAATGACTTCAATCAAGTTCAGCTGCTGTTGGAAGAAGATAGCAATTATTTGAATGTTCAAGATAGCTCTGGTGGAGACACCCCTCTAATCTGTGCCTGCAGACAGGGACACAATAGAATAGTCAGCTACCTTCTGAAATGGAATGCTGATGTGAACATCAAAAACAAGGTGAGTGGTAATGGCCAAGTACCCCAGGAATATCCTCTTGTCTTTAATGACACCTGACTACATTTTGCAACTAGGAGTGGAGGAAAACGTTTGCATATCGCCAGCCACAGAAGTTCAACAATCACAAGTTAGACCTAAAAAGGTCATGAGATTGGCTCCCCAAAACTGTGATTTTTAAATGATTTTTTATGCGGTCTCCTGAGTTTTGAACTCATCCACCTCCAGAGTGTGTGGGACCAAGGATGGGAGAAATTGGATTTTTGGTCATTGCAGCCTCATAGCAGTTAATGTTGTGACCCAGCTTGCACATCAACTGCATCACACCACAATTCTTCACCCACCTTGACCCCTCCCCTCACTCCCTGTCTGCTCTTCCTGTGGCTCCGGTGGCTCTTTACCTCTCTCAGGCCTGGCAGGAAGACAAGTTCAGGGGACGTTTGTGGTGTGTGTCTGTGTCTCTCTCTACTCAGGGATGGCAATTCCAATTTCTTCTCTCCCTTCCCAGGACTGCTGTTGCAGCATTAAGGAGGAGGAGCAGACCAATACATTTTTCACAGTAGAGGAAGACGGAGCAGAGCTGCTACTCTCTTACTGTATCTCCCACCCCCTCCAGAAGCTTCTGTGCCTCCTGAGGGTGTGGAAAGCATTCTTGGCCTCTGCAGTAGCTCTATTTCACTGCTTAGTCCAAACCCCTCCCATTCCCTCTTTTCCAGTCTCACCCTACATCTACTCCGCTACCCCCTCTGACTAGGGAAGGGCTCCTGTAGACTACATCCCTCTTTTGAAAAAGGGATGTAAATGAGCCCGATCGAAAGTGCAAATGAAGCAAATAACTCGTGTTATAATTGCATCCCAGAGGTCTTTTGAAAAAGGTATTTCAAAAGTGAAACCGCAGCCTAGACGTGGTTCTTTTGGGGAAAAAGAAACCCTTTTTCGAAAGATCCCAGACTCCTCATTTTTTCAGGAGTACAGGATCTGTCGAAAAAGGATTTTTTTTGAAAGAACCGCATCTAGACTGTGGTTTCACTTTCAAAATACCCTTTTTCGAAAGACCGCTGTGAGGCAATTATGCAAATGAAGTGCAGGATATTTAAATCCCCGCTTCATTTGCACTTTCAATCAGGCTCATTTACATTCCTCTTTCAAAAGAGGGATGTAGTCTAGATGAGCCCGAAGATCTCTAATGACACAGATTAGCAATTAGTATGGGGCACTTCACAATGGAGGCTATTCTTGCTGTTCTGCCCCTAAAGGTGAAAGTAATATCCACATGGGAAATATAGAACACTCTTCCCCACCCAGAACTGGAGAGGTTAAGTTCAGCTGCCAGTCCCAACCCCCCTGTGAAGCTCCCAGACTGTGGCTTTGTGCCAATGAAATGTATTTCACTTAGTTGAACAAGATACACATGTCCTTGTTTCAACATTAATGAAAGAGAAATGTTCCAGATATATATCTGGTCAGAAAGCTGTGAAATATACTAGGAGTGTAATTAACTGTGCATCTAATACTAACAATCGATATTTCTTCTCTGTTTAGAAAGAGCGCACATGTTTGCATTATGCTGTGAGAAAACGGTTTAGTTTTCTTGACTACCTACTCATTATCATCCTAATGCCCGTTCTGCTTATTGGCTATTTTATCATGGTGAGTACAAACTGAGCTAGAAGGACTTACCCTACATTTTTTGTCATCTTGAGCCCCATTGTGGGTACATTAACTTCCTGGCAGTGGCATGCCATCCATGTATGCAAGACATTTGTTACACATCCCACTGGTGTATCATCAATGTATGCAAGGCACTTGTTACATGACCCAATAATTTACCATCGGTGTATGTGAGGTATATGTTATACATCCCAGAAATCACACAAAAATTCATGACCAAACTGGTAGCCTGCAGACCAATTTCATCCATCTCCCCCACTGCACACTGTAGAAAGAGCCAGCATCCTCCACACAGCATGACCTCATGTGAAGGCCACACCATAGGAAGGAAGTCATTTTGGAATTACTTAAGGCATGAAAATATAGAAGCACTACAGCATACCTTGGGTACCAGGACTAGATGCTGTTTCATTTTCTCCTTTTCACACTCTTCAATAGCTTTGACATGGGCTTTTATGTGTCAAGTAATACTTCTTCTTGGTTTACTAATAAAGTTCTCAAGGAAACAGGATTTCCCACTCTGCCTTCCTATCTGTCTCAGATCTTTGGTACAGGTTCCTTAGTTCTGCTTTGGACATCCTGGAGGCAGGCAGACTCCTCAGGTTCTCTATAGAGCTTCTATAGCTCATAGGTTTATTTCAGGCAGGTGGGGGGAGTCAAGTCTCATAAAGACGGGAGGAAGTATGTATGAATATTCCTTCATCCTAGAGTCTCCCAGACCTCTCCATTGCTTCAGGCAGGTGGAGGGAGGCAAGTCTCATAAAGAAGGGAGGAAGTATGTATGTATATTCCTTCTTCCTAGAGTCTCCCAGACCTCTCCATTGCTAACTGACCTCTCTCACCTTTTGTAAGATGCCCAATCCCAGCTGGATCTAATAATTGAATAAGGCCACCTGAACCCCAGCCATTCAGCATCAGTGGAGAGGGTAGTTGATCATTACAGGGAAGGTGGGGCCCGACATCCTTAAAAGAGCCAGTCAGCCTGTGACACCCACCAATCACAGATTAGCTACTGCAGGCAGGACCCTGTGCTGTAGCTCATCCAGAGTTGTAAATATACACAAAATAACCATGGGTTGTTAATGTCAAATTCAGGACTGAGTGAGAACTGTAAAAACGTGTACAGCTCTCAGGATTTGGCTCATGAATACAACTGGCATACTGCTAAGGCATTAGTGTCACATTTAACTATATTGCACAAATAGGGCACATTCATTGGTTTGAATAGCACACTCACAGCTAGCCCAAATCTGCTTACGACCACGAGTTATCTGAATGAACTTTCCAACTGTGGTGAACTTTTTTCTATGTGTTAAATAGATATCAAAGACTAAGCAAAATGAAAACCTCATCAAGATGTTACTTCGAGCTGGCACAGATGTTAATGCTACAGACTATGTAAGTGGGTTTGTACATTCACGGAGGTCCCTCACTGATGTGGTGTATACAACATTCAATTTAGTTAATTAGAAAAGGTAACTTTCAGGGGCTACTAGGTAATGCTTTCAGGGGAAGATCAAGGAGAGCTTGTTTTGATACATTAAACTTGTCTGGCATTGCATCTCACTGTTGTCTGGTGTTCCCAATAAGATGTGCACTTGTGCGGCAACTCAGATGAAATTTAAATGCTGCCCAGCGGATTATCAGAGTGCCCACAGCTGGCAGCATGTATTTCTACTGGAGGTGCACATTCACACATGCCTCAGTGCACATAAAATTTATTCTTCACATGGAGGGAAAAAATCCACATGTAAATGAAAAAGATTATAGGGAACATTGTCCCTTCAATTGTAGGGTGAAATTTGCTAAAGTATACAATTTTCTCCCCTTTGGCACCCCAACTTGGCTTTTATTCAACACAGTTATTCGTCTTGCCTATAGATTTTTATTTACTATTGTTTCCAACACAGCTTTTAAAACAAATGTGAAATGTTAGAGACATTCCCCTTACCCATGTGTGTGCTACATTTGACTGTCAGCCACCTTCCTGCTGTGGCAGAGGCTTAGTCAAATGTTGGGGAACAATGTAGTGTCACATTGCCACAATACCCTTAAAGGAGTGTGAGCTGTAAAGGAAACTTACCTGAGTTCAGTCACCAGTCAGCCATTAGCGTGGAGTGAACATGCTCTCACTGAGCAGTGAGGGTGAATATGCTCTCACTGAGCAGGGGTGATTGTGTGTAGAACAAACTCTGTGTAGAATTTGCCAATAGGTGTGGAGTCAGGTAGTATAAATCTCCTTGCAACGGCACCAGAAAGGACCTGATTCCCTAGATTGGGGTGGTTAGACTTTATAGTTTTTCTTAGTAATATCATGGTATCAGAGACTATATGAACAACTGGGCTAGAGCCCTATATTCATCTAGTGTCAGAATGGGTTTAGTTTCCAATCCTATGTATGAACCATCAGCCTGACCTCACAAACATCCACGGGCTTGGTCTCATATGAGTCAACGACACTCCCAACTTTACTGGTTTTCTGTGCTGGTGGGGGATGGTCTGATCCTACAACCTTTTAGTTTTCAGAGGGCTCTGGGTGACTGCTTCTCCTTCCTGGTCTCATCTAGAGATTGCTGGGTTCATATACCTACATCCACCGGGGCCTTTGTAGTTAATAGCCTCATTCTCTCTCCTCCACGTAGAGCAGAGGCAAAGTCTCAGTTCTTTCTTCAGCCAATTTTGGCAGTGATATACCATCTAGGAAAGGTCTTGCCATTCAAAAGCAGTCATGGGCAGGGGTGGACTGGCAATCAAAACAGGCCCAGGAAATGGGTTGAGAACAGCCCACTTTTTCACATCAAAGAATTTTTAAAAATTTACTCTTTGACCCCCATTAGCCACACCCCTGACCCCCTGTTAACCACACCCCGGCCCCCATTAGCCACACTCCCTGGCTCCCATTAGCCAGCCCTCTGGAGGTATCACTCTTGGGACAAGATGGACACATGCCCAGAAGTAAAAGGTGTCATGTGACCCCTTTAAGGACTTTTCCCACCATCCTCCTACCAATAAGGATTAGTTTGGCCCCCACCAAACCCCTCTCATGCAACTATCCTGCAGTTGCATTAACCCAATGTGTGTGACATTAACTCAGGGGTGGAGAGGCTGGGGGAAGTGTTCCCTCTAAGAGTTTCCTCTCATGAGCAGAATGAATTTTGTGTTGTGCACCAGTACTGAGTTCATGTGGCTTGTTTGGATGTGCCACTGTGGCACCCAAGTTATTAATATATGTCTTATAAACCTCCACCTTTTCCCTCTGCTGCCATTTGTCCTCCCCTGGCTCCATCAGCTCCCCTGATGCCTGCTGCCCCCCACTGCTCACCCTCCTCTGCTGTCCTGACTCAGACCCCTGCCCTTCTCACTGCCCTCAGCCCTCCTGAGACCTGTCCCCCTCCACCAGCTCTTCTCTCTCCCCTGTGCCCACTCCTCCAGTAGCCCAACTCTGATCATGTGACCTACCCCTCCTCATCCCCTCTCCTAACACCTTCCTCTACACACCTGCCCTGCCTCTCTCCTCTGATGCTGGTCCCTCCCCTGCAGGTGTCTGCCCTTCTGCTTCCCCCCCAGAATCCCCTGGCACCTGCACCTTCCCTTACCCCTGCCCCCTCCTGATTTCCCCCTTCCTTCACTGCCCCTACCCCCTTTGCACTCTTTTTCCCTGATGCCCACCCCCTCACCACCCTCTGCCCCTCTGCCCCTTATGCCCCTCTGTGCGCTCACACATGACTTGCTCCATCCCCGCCTTCCTCATGCCCACCCCTTCTTTCAAGCCTTATCCCAGCACCTCCCCCTCTAGCCCCCAATGCCCTTACCCTCTCCTTTCCCAGCATCACCCTGTCTCCCCTCCCACTGACACCTCCCCTCCTGCCCTTTTCCTCATTGTCTCCACTTGGCCCCCTGGCATTTATCTCTCCTACACCCTGTCCCTTGGTGCCTTCCCCTTTCTTCTCCTGACCTGCCTCCTTCCCCTCAGCACAAGCCCCTTCCTCTCCCCCCCTTCCTGTTTGTGGTGCTGGAGTCTGTGATCTGGCCGCAGCTGCTTTCAGGGCTCCAGACCACATGCCGGGCCTTGAGCTGGGCTGTGCGGTGCAACTCTGGGCGAGTGCTTTTGAAGTCCCAGGGCTGTAACAGCATGCCACACCTGGGCATCTCCCCTCTCATCTGTTGCGCGGCGTTTGAGCATGCCGCGCATATGCTCCCTCGGCCCCACCGTGCCCCATACATGGCCGGCAAGCAGCGCCGGGGAATTTAAAGTGCGGGGCTGTGGTGCCCTGTCACAATCCCCCTCCTCCTCCTTCGGAGGACGGCCCACAGTGAAATTCCCAGTGTCCCGCTGGGCCACTCCGCCCCTGGCCATGGCTTACTTTCTAGGGAATCCCAGATACTTCTGTAGCAATCATACAAAAACTGATGTGGTATGGTAGGTGCAGGCATGCTTCTCTATTTCTACTCTGCTCTTACAAGAATGCAATCCTTTCTTTTGTTTAATGACCTAAGGAAGCAAGATGACATAGTCACTGAGGCCAACCATTACAGGGAAACATGATCTCGAGCTAATGCTTTATAACTGCATTTCCAGCATGTTAAACAACTAAGTTTTTAAAAACCTGCAAAGCTTATATTTCATGCTTGTATACCTGTCTAGATAACATCCCCCTAGAAAAAACAGCATACCTGTCAATGTTCCTACAAATTTTTTCCATCCATGTGTGGTTGTAATGATTATTGTATTGTCTCTAATATGTACTGAGCTTGAATTTGTAATCCTGTTAAAATTTCCTAAATACAGAAATAGTTACATTCACAGGACTGGACACAAACATCCAGTGATACTTCTCTACCCAGGCTATTGCCTAGATTTGTGGTACCATGCACTAGAAGCTTTGCTCAAGGGCAGCTGTCCACATTTAGGCACTGATCACATTAGGGGGTTGTGGGGAAGATGAGGCATTGTACCATGCCAAAGCAGGGGTTATGTAGCCAGCTGTGAAGATATTTGTGCTGTAGGATAACAGTGTAGCCTGAACCAGATCCCTCAATCTCTATCTTCTCAAGCATGGCAGAGAATGAAATCTGGGCCTGTAGTTAGAACCATATTTTGTGGTTTAGACTCATCTCTGGCAAACAGTAAAACGATCAGTCTTGACACACCATCACTAAGTGCCTTCTGCCCTGTATCACATATGGCAACGTCCTCCTTTTTCAAGAAGCACGCAGAATAGCTTCCAACCTACAAGTACCATCGGCAGGTGGGCTGGTGGTACATTCATACAGAGAAATGCATGTCTAAAATTTCAGCTTAAAGAATGGTAGAAGTAAACTTTACCTGCATTTTGTTTACTTTCAGTCTGGGAACACAGCCCTTCACTATGCCAGTAAAATGAAAAATCAGTCAGTCATTCCTCTACTACTTGAAGCCCATGCAGACCCTTCTATAAAGAATAAGGTAAGGAGATAACTGTGTCTATGAGCATTTTCCTGCTAAGCTTCCAGAAATCAGGTGGCTGGTACTAGAGGGGGCAGGGTGCACTGCTCCCCACTTCCTGGGGAGGACAAAGTATGTGCCCCACTGCCTTTGTGAGGAGAGAGCAGCTTTAGACTGTAAATAATGCTTAGCCTGCACAGCTCCAGCTATTTGGGGGATGTATTGATTTAGTGCATCTCCTAGGGTGTGTCTAGACTACAGAGTTTTGTCGACAAAAGTGGACTTTTGTTGACAAAACTATACCTGCATCTACACTACTGCTGAGTTCTGTCGACATAACGTCGACAGAACTCAGCAGTTTTGTCGACGCTGGTAAACCTAATTTTACGAGGCATAACGCCTTCTGTCGACAGAGTTCTGTCGACAGAAGGTGTTATTGCATGTAGGGTTGTGTCTAGACTACAGGGTTTTGTCAACAAAGCAGCTTGCTTTGTTGACAGAACTGAATGTAGTCTAGACGCTCTTTGTTGACAGAAGCTTTGTCAACAGCATCTGTCGACAAAACTTCTGTCGACAAAACCCTGTAGTCTAGATGTACCCCTAGAGGCCTTAGCCATGTCCCTGCTAGTCTAGAACTTCTCACGTTCAGCTATGATGGCTGGTTGCAGGCCTCCTGCTGGAATGACCTATGTAGGTACCCTCCCCAGGTGTATTTTCTGCTGCAGGGAGCCTTGCACACTAGGTGATGCCAATGTAAGGGGTTTACAGCAACTTCCATTCCCAAGGGAGACTCATCCATCACTATCAAACGTTAAAGGAAAGAACTGATTTCTTGCCACTTACCAGAGACTTGCAAGTATCTTGGCAACACTACTCCCTTCATTTATCATTGTTTCAGCACCAACTTCTGACATCAACCAAGTTGAATAACAGGATAAGTGTTGATGTGATTGAAATAAAGGCCATGGCCCACTGATTATCAGGAAGCAGGCTCAGTCTCACTTCACTGAGACATCTAGAAGTGCTGGGGATTCCTATCTGCATGGGTCAGACAATACAGACCACCTAGATGAACACAAACTGGCTGCTCTGTCTCATGAGGCTGTGTGTGTGCGCGCACAGCAGTTAGGCATGTGTTTGCAGCTCTTGTAGACATACCCAAGCTGACTTTAATCTAGTTAGTAAAAGTACCAATGGCAACAAGGATGAGGCAGCACCTGCTCCAGCTTGAGCTATACTTGCCTGCTCTGGGACCTGGGTGCTTAGAGAACCAGCCTGTACTGATGTCTGTGCTGTCTGTCACAGCTTCACTACCACCAGGATTGGTGCTAACTAGATTAACCCTGCATCATGTGTGCCTCCACGTGCTGCGCTCACATCTTAGATTGCAGTACAGACATACTTCTACTCAGCCGCCTGCTTCCATGACTTATCACGGCATGTTTTGTCTGTTTTTTTCAGAATGGGGAGACTCCGGTGGATATAGCAAGAAGATTAAAGTTCATCAACATTGAATATATGTTAAAGAAGGCATTCTAGTGCATAATGGGAGGATACTGTATTTTATAATATGCCAAAAGAAAAATCCCACTAATTTGTTGTTTCTTAGCAAAAATTACACTGGAATAAAGATTTGTAAATATATTTTATATGTAGTTTAGATTAAGTTTGTCAGGGAAATACAAAGTTTATCAAACATTATTTTATTGAGTCATGAAAAGGATACATTTCATTATTTGATGAAGAAAAAGTATATATCCACTTTTTCTTGTGAGAACAGATAAAATAGCACTAACTTTTCACAGAAACATCTTAGTAAAACACACACACACACGCTGAAAACCTGGGTATATACATCAATGCACACAAATATTATTTGTCATGTATAGATATGTCTCAATATTTATAATAAAAATTACATTTTTTACTGTTTCAATAAAAACTTTGTCTTCAATAAAAACAAAAACCTATTTATTGGCAAAAATAAAACTCACATACCTGTACAACTTTCTGATGGCTTGCTTATTACCTTGGTGAAATTCATATAAATCTAACTAATAGTTGAGCTTTAAGTTTGTGGGTTATGTGCCTCCTGTATCCTCTGTTGCCTCTTGATTGTTGACATCTTATGTCCTCTGAGTGTCATTGCATATTTACACAAGGAATTTCACAGTTTAGATGCCCAACAGGGAAGAACAATTTTCTGAAAACTCTTCTAGTAAATATTATTTACTCTATTTTTACAACTTCACCTTTGTTTATATGCAAATATAAAGCTTTCATGTTTATATACAGTATTCAACATTCTTTCTGTAAAAACATTACATTTTTAAATGGTATGGGTGTTCTTATACTTTACACTTAGGGCCTCATAATCTGGCCCTGCCCTTATGGCTGGAGGTAATGATGCAGCAAGTCCGCCTCAGTTTTCCCCTCCGGCTATACCACTTTTGAATCCAGCCCTTTCCAGGGCTACAAAGTCTTATCAAAGTTTAATCAAACATAAAAAATGAAACCCAACCTTCAGCCAGGCCAGGGTCAGCAGGCCATCTCTCCCTCACATGCACGCCTCCTGACTACAGTCTTTTTCCAGTGACTCCACTGTCGAGGGCTCAGCATGCTCCCCTCACTCAGGGGTTCAGACAGGCTGCAGCTCATCTGGTCTTCTGCCTCCAGTTCTCCATGGCAGTAGCCTGTCTTCTCTTCTCACTTGTAGATTTCTTAACCTTCTTTCAGGCTGCTTCCCAAAGAGGAGAAGTGCCTCTCCTTTGGCACTCCCTTCTAGCTGCACTCATCGAACTCTGTGTAGGCAGCCTCAGTGCCCGCTCCCCCCAGTAACTTAAGTTTTGCTAGCTCTTCTCCATTTGATCCAGATCAGTTTTGGAAGGGGTGGGAGGAAGGCAGGAGTAGCTGATCTATCGCCCACCAAACTTTGAAAGCCTCCCTCCCCCAGACATGTGACAATATGGAATACTTATTGTCGTCTGTTTGGTGCTTTTTGAAGGGGAAAAAGGACAAGTCAAATCAAATCCTTCCAAGTTAAGTAACAAAGGGACAGCATCTTATGTGCCAGCGACACCCAGTGCAGGATGAGCAAAGTGGCATAGGGAGCTGCTTACAGATCCCTGGTTCTCAGGTCAGGGTCAGGGCCCTTAGTTACCCCTGTGCAACTCCAAATTTCACCATGACATAGCTCGTCTGAAGAAGTGGGTTTTGCCCACGAAATCTCATGATATGATATATACTTTTTCTTCCTCTCTAAGGTGCCACAGGACTACAACTAGTTTTTAAAGTTACAAACACAGCTACCCCTCTGAGACTTTTTAACATGCATGGCAAAGGGGCCTTAATTCAACATCATGGAGGATTGCTATGGAAGGCTGGGAAATTCGAGAACAAGCATGAATGTAACTTTTTTGGCTTCTTACTGTTTTGCTCTGTGTTTGCAATACATGTGGAGGGGTTAATATTGCAGATTGAACCTCTGTTAACCAGGATTCTCTGGTCTGGCATCACCCGTTGTCCAGCAGGACCATGGATATTCCAGGACCAGAGTCTCCTAGTGGAGGGCTGGTAGCTGGGCTCCCTGCAGCTGGGTTGCCTGGCACGCTGCTGCTGGACAGCCCGGCAGGACTGGGAGCATAGCAGGACAGCCTGATGGGTCCAGGAGCTTGGTGTGTTGCAGTGGGGCAGCCTGGTGAGGCCAAGAGCTTAGCATGCCACAGCAGAGCTGCCCAGTGGGGCCAGGAACCTGGTGCACAGGGTGCTGGGCTGCCCAGTGAGGCTGGTGGCAAGGTGGAGTCGGCCAGGAGGTCAGCAACTGGTCCGAGACTGGGGGGTGCCAGATATGAACTTCCCTGGTCTAGCAAAATCCCTCATCCAGGACTGGTCAGGTCCCGAGGGTGCTGGACCAGGGAGGTCCAACCTGTACTTCTGGCTGCTGTATTGTCTGTCTCCCCCCCTCACTTCTCTTTGGTAAAATAATAACCAACCAATAAAAATCTTAAAATAAAAAATGTGTCCCCCTTTCCATCAATCACTTCATTTAAAATGGCAACTAGGTGATAAGGTTTTCACTATTGCCACCTCTGCATGTTCAAAAATCTCAAGTCAGACTGTCAAAGAGTCATGCAATTGGCTTCAAAATCATGAGGCTAAAATAACAAACTGTTTTCATGTCAGAACAGTAATCAAGGGATTCCTAAACACCTAACGCTATTGAGGCTGAGATACTCCCAATGGATAGAATATCCCTCCTCCTCCCAACCTGTTCAGAAACTACAGTATTTGATATGCAGTAGAAGAATGTTCATTCTTATATTAGCTTGAACAATTAATACTGAACCAGCGGCACACACAGAGATGATTTAAAGTTTTTGTTTATTAATTGCAACATGTTAAAATCACACATCAGAACTCAAAGCATAGGAAGTACACAGTTTACTGCCTTCCTTGAGCATGTATTTTCCAAGTGGTCCATACCATAACCTCTGAGTTTCTTGCTGTTAATAATATAAAAAGCCCCACAGTCTCCCAGCAAGGTTTTTAAGACATAAGTACTCAGCAAGAACAGGTTTAATTTTTCAGCATCCTAAACCACTGAATGAACCACCAAGGGCAGCAAAGCAAAAGCATATGAAATCTTTAACTGAAAACAGAACCAAGAACTTCACTCACATGAAAGCACTGAGCAGCTCAGCCTGCTCACAGCTTGCTTGAAGCTGCATTACTAACAAAAGAAATTCACTCTGGGTAGTTAGTTAAGCCTAAACATCAACATATATTTCAGTTAGTGCCTCTTGCTTAGTAATTATCACATCAGATCTGCTTGTGGAAATCAAGAATCTGAACTTTTAGCATGTCTTTTGCTACAGTGTGGAATGGATGAAAAGTTTATGAATGCCTGGAAAACTGAAAGGAATCTTTCAATACGAGTTAAAACCTAGCACTTGTGATCTTTTAAAGTACTTTACAAACATTAACAAATTAATCCTCAGAACTAAAAGGTAAGTATTACTATTCCCATTTTGCAAATAGGAAATTTGAAAGAGAAGTTGAGCTGCCAGAGGTTGTAAAGGAAATAATTCTCATATGCCAAAGTTAATTTTTTTGGCCTAAGAAAGTTGACAATCTCTTCAAAAGCTGCCCAGTAAAATAATATGCTATTGTCTGGAACCAGATGAATGTCATAAATCACCCACTGGCAGACTGTCTCATAGAGAATAAAGCATTTCAAAGAAAGTGATCTCCTGTAGTATTACATGAGGTATGTATGTGACTGTTGTAGCTTCATTAAGGATTCATCTAAGAAAGGCAGCTCAGTTTCCTGAAATTCACCAGCAGGTTGGAAAATAGAACAGAGTGACAAATGTAGCAAAATACAGGCCAGTCACCATCAGACCCTTCACTAATCCCATTATAAATAAGTTTCAAAAAAGAAAATTGAATAAGAAAAACACCCCTATTGCCAGGCACAACAGAAGGATCAAATCATTCAACCTCTGGAGCTACAGTGTGGTTTAGAGCTGCTCCATCATCTCAATGATTTTTGCATACATGCGCTTAGGTGCATCGAGACCCCAGATGAAATCTAGATGTTCCCAATCAGGAAAACGCATATGGTAAATGAGATTAGTAATTCGATCAAGTAATGCATCCAAGTCCCTTGGGTCTGCAAATAAGTCACGTTCAGCACTCCAAACAGCAATGGGCATTTTCATTTCTTCTATCTTGTATATAGGAGGGGTAGTCTGGCAAAAAGGGAAATGGTTAGACATGAAAACTTGTAAAACTACACCCATTTTTTTAACAAACAAATTCTGAAAAGACAGAGGCCTATTCTCTTGCTTTCACAGTCTGATAGAATTAAAATATTAGTAAAAATAAAGCCTGCTATCTTAGTCACTTTCCATCTTGTTAACTGCAACAACAACCCTACTGCTGGATTTTTGCATAATGTATGAATATAATTTCTTTAGTCATTTGATATCTGGATTGAGGGTAAACTTTAAAATTAGAGGCATCAATTCCAAAAGACCAAAAACCAAGTTTATAATATAGGTGTTAAAATACATTGGTTCATCATACAAATTTTGTAAGAAAATATGTTTGTATCATATTAATATATCCTAGCATTCTATTCACATCATATAGGATTGCTATGCATTGAGCAAAATACAAGCCATTTTTACTTACACTCCATTTGCCCATGTACTGGGCTGTTACAGTTTATTTCTAATTAAAATGGGGCATTTTATGTCACCTTTTTATTCATAGACTTTTCCTTGGTACTCATTATTACAGTATCTCACAACTTTAATGAATTCATCTTCACCCCAATCCTATAAGGAAGTATTAATCTGGGAGACATTAAGTGCATTTCTCAAGATCATACAGGAAATATATGGCAGGGCCAGAAACACAATTTGGGTAACTTTAGTCTGAAACAAGGATTGTTATTCCTCCTTGTAGCTACACACACATGCAACTCTTTTACATTGATCTTTGTTAGCAAAGTGTGCATGCTTTATATTGCTTTGTTTTTAAATGGCATATTTATTGGTACCTGTTAGTAGCTGCTAGACTATTGGTACCGTCTCATTGGAAAAGGAAGCATTAGGGGTTGGTTCAAAAAACAAAAACAAATCCCAGAGAGAATCATGGAGAAATTGGTGCATCAAATAAGCATGCTGCAACACTCAGATTGATCCCATATGTACAATGCCTTCCTTTTTAGTTTGCATCTGGTAAACTTTATTTGAAATATTAGCTTTTATAACATTTTTTCAATCTTGATTTTAGCCCTTAACAGGTAAGAGCTTAATTCTTCATTCCTTTGCCTGTGACCATTCCTACTGGGAAGTCCCAGGAGAATTATCAAATGATCATTTGGTAAATAAGTCTCCATCCATTTTTTGTAATATTTGGTTTTGTATCTTAACCTTTAATAACTGAACATGTTCGCATATCTGCATAAAATCACTTTTCTTCACATTTTCATCCACAACTTTTTAACCTCACCAGAGTAAAGTATCATTGACACATCTTATAGAAATGTGTTTTTATAGTACTAAAAATTGAGATTTCTAATCCTCAATTAAAAAAAAATTCTTCAAAGCATTTTCAACAAAAAGTATGTTAGCCTACCTGATTGTATTTCTCCATGTTCTTTTCCTTGGAGCCATAGTCATAAGATTGCAATTGCTTTGAATACAATACCTATGAATTATATAATATAAAGAGTTATAACCATAGCAAAAGTCTGGATAGGTCATCGGATAAAGAGAGAATACAACATCTTTCATCCTGTTAAAATTTGGGATTAAATGTTGCTCTCATGCTGTTCTGGTGGTTAACTGCTCTCACTTTTAGAAACATATACTGTACTTAATTTCTAACCTAAATGCAATTCTCTTCAATTTTGAGCTAATATATCATATTATATCTTTGTCCACTAGATTACAGAACCAAGTGCTTATCAGAAATCTCCTTCCCATTTAAATATTTACAGATCCTGAACTGGAGGACTTTAAGAAACCAAACAATGGGCCAGATTACTCTTTTCTGTGACTCTAATGACTTTAGTTACACTAGAGAAAAATTTGAACCTATGATATAAGTATCTCCACTGATTTCAGTTACTCCAGATTTATATCAGTGTGAGATCAGACCCATTGTGTTTATCAATTTAGCTATTTTCAGTTAGATATGAATACAATTTGTATATTAATATTTATATTGCAGTAATGCCTAGAGGCAAGCAGATTAGAGGCCTTTGCTGCTAAACATTGTAGGAAATTATACTGGTGGTCCTCCACAGTGGGGCATATTATGCATCTTAATCTAGAAAGAATCAAGGAAAACAAATTTTATCCTAAGGGTGATGAAGAAGCCATTTGTGATAATCTCTGTGGGTACGTCTAGACTACATGGCTCCATTGACGGAGCCATGTAAAGTAGTTTACTCGACATAGTCAATGAAGCGGGGATTTAAATAATCCCCGCTTCATTAAAATAAAAACGGCCGCTGCGCTGTGCTGACGATCAGCTGACCCGGCACAGTGTGGCAGTCCATGATTCTGTTTGTTTAAGAGTGCCTCCTAAATGGTGAGAGCTAGGACCACCAAATATGGTTGGTAGTTTCCTCTTATACTAACTTAAAGCAAGGTCAGGGTTTGGTTGTGCCAGGAAAATGTGAAGTGCCAGGAATGGAACTGTTTTCCATAACACAGAAAGGAATGGGTCACAGAAAAGAGGGATGTGATATTGGGAGTGATCACTGGGGGCTGCAAGTACAGGGGAGAGCTATATTGCAGAGTGACCACTGGGGACAGCCACATGACCAAGAGAGTGGCTAGCTGGGGCTTGCCATCTTGCATGCCACCAGGTTGGGTTAGAACCCCAGAGAGTCCTGGATTTGAGCGGTTTAATCTGTATCCCATTGCCTAGCCATTAGAGCATTCTCCTATTTAAACCCTTTCCCTCTGTCAGGCAGAGTGGAGAATTAAAGCAGGTATCCCACAGACCAAGTGAATGCTCCAACCACTGAGGTAGAAGATGGGCACCACCTCTTCACCCAGTTTTGGAATGACTCTTCATCCAATAGACAGCCTCTGAACACGTCCTCTGGATCAGGCCCGGCAAGATAGGTAGTTGAGCATCTTCCCCATTTATGGCTCACTCTGCAGCTTATATGGGAGACTGGCATCCAGGCACTTAGAAAAAGTCACATGCATACCCAGAGAAAGAGACAAAGTTACAGAATGAGTTTAGATGCCTATAGGGTAAGGTGTCAGAGGAGCCTAAAACTGGGCCTAGCACACTTATACTACATAAAATACACAGGAATTATGATTCAAAAAATATACAGGAGTCAAAAGTTGAAAAATACCTGCCGCCAATGTAAAATATTCTGCATAGATGTTCCAGCAGGTGAATGTGCAACATACATGGGTAATCGACTCTGAAAATAAATTACTAATTGTTATCAATATGAGATCCACATGTTTATACTCAAAGCTTTAAGGACAGAAGCGATTATCGTGATCATCTAGTTTGACCCTCCTGCATATTGTTTAGCCTCAGAACCTCACTCACCTATTCCTGTGACCAACCCATAACTTCTTGATGAGTTAACGAAGTCCTCAAGTCATGGTTTAAAGATGTCAAATTACAAAAGAATCCACCCTTTACATTAATGTAAGTGACCTGTTGTAACCACATGTTGTAGAAGAAGGCAACCCCCACTGACAGGTTTCTAAACCTAGAAAGCACCAGATTCACAGTTGCATCAAAAAAGCTTAGGAGCACATTACCACTTAAAATATAAAAACAGGGAAATTATGAGCAAGTCTACTAAATAACTGAATTCATGCTAAGAATGTACAGGTCTTTTTGGCCACTAGAGGGAGCCCATGTTGTGTGAAGTCACTATTACTGAATAAACAGTTTCTGCGAGTAAAAAAAAAAATTAACTAGTGTTTTCAAACCAGATATATGCCTCACTTCACAACAAAATCATATATATGAAGAAAAACAAATTATTTTATGTGTATATATATTCTAGCTATATTAGTACACCCAAAGAAAATTACTTAATATTGTGAGACAGTAACATATTTTCCATCAAATTTGGTTTTGGATTGATTTTCACATTACTGACTTATCTTATGTCAAAAAAGTATTTGTTTAGCTTTGCCATTTAGAAAAGCTAACCTTTTCCTGAAATGTCTGTTCTAAAGCATAGCAACATCTTTCTGCAGTTAATTTTTTATATTGAACTTATGAAATGTTTTAGGCCAGTGACAGACCTTTGTAGGATTTATTTTATTATTTGGATTTAAGATACTACCATGAATCTCAGTTGTTAGACACATGTGAAATACTATCACTGATTTTAAAAAATTGGTTCTTTTCTTAGAGTTAGAAAAAAAGTCTTAAATGAATTATTCTGTTTTTATTTAACAAAAAACAAAAGAGGACAAAGACATAAATCCAGGTAAATTTGTAAACTTCATGCCATGCCCTACTACCAATGTTCCCTTTAATCATTTCCACCCATGTTCAGCATTTTTCCCTGTCCAGGTGTGAAATAAATATTTGTGTGCACCAAGACATGTGCATCACCAGCATAAAAAAAAAACCTAGCTGTGGACACTGCTAATCAGTTGAGAGCATTTGAATCTCTTATGAGTGGCCACAAAAGTGCCCAGCTTATAGGGATCACTGCACACTACACATTTCTGAACAGACACTCCAATAGAAATCTACAAAGTTTTCTATAATCAATGACATGGTATGGCCCACCATATTTCTTTAGATAAAAACAAGCTTCCAATTAATGTCTGCAGTACCTCTGGAAAATGGAGTATTACTTCATTCTCATAGTCTGATAAAGACTGATTATTAGCTTTATGGAGAGAAAAAATTTTATTCTTTACATGAGTTTAATTACACTACACTTCGGAGAGGCAGTTTCTCCTTACTTCCTTCAGGGTACAGTACATTCGCCCTGCCCCTGTTCAGCTGGCTGGTATATGCATGTGGTATAGTCATGACTTCACTCACTCCAGACACCTCTGTAACCACCATGTCATAAAGGACATGTCTACACTTGGAAACTATTTTGAACTAATTACATTTAATAACTCTTGAAATAACAAAATCAAAATAGCATGGGATGCTATTCCAAGAAGGACTACTAAACAGGGATGGGGTTTACCTTTCGATGAAGAGGAAGACCATATTTGGATGCAGACTGGCTAACCTAGAAAGGAGGGCTTTAAACTAGGTTAGACAGGGGCAGGTGACCAAAGCCCACAGGTAAGTAAAGAACATGGAGACTTGGGAGTTGGGTCAGAATTGGAAGGGAGCATGTGCTACAATAGCAGAGATAAAGGAGGGACAAAGCAGAACTGGGAGGCAAAAAATCAAATCAGTATCTTAGATGCTTATATACAACTGCAAGGAGTATGGGTAATAAGCAGGAAGAACTTGAAGTGTTAACAAATAAACACAACTATGACATAGCTGGGATCACAGAGACTTGATGGCATAATACACTTGATTGGAATATTAGTATAGAAATGTACATCTTACTCAGGAAGGACAGGTGGAGAAAACAGGGAGGAAGTATTGCCTTATATATGCTCAGAAAGGACAGGCGGAGAGAACAGGGAGGAAGTATTGCCTTATATATTAAAAATGTATACACTTGGACTGAGGTAGAGATGGACATAGGAGACAGACTTGTTGAGAGTCTCTGGGTTAGGTTTAAAGGGGTGAAAATCAAGGGTGATGTCATGCTAGGGGTCTACAACAAACCACCTACCCAGGGAGAAGAGATGGATGAGGCTTTTTTTAAACTAACAAAATCATCAAAAGTGCTGATGAGGGAATTCAACTATCTAGACATATGTTGGGAAACTAACACAGTGGGGCACAGACCATACAATAAGTTCTTTGACGTCATTGGAGACAATTTTTTATTTCAGGTTGAGAAAGCTACTGGGGGGAAGCTGTTCTAGATTCAATTTTAACAAATAGGGAGGAACTGGTTAAGAACTTGAAAGTGGAAGACAGCTTGGGGGAAAGTGATCATGAAATCATAGAATTCATGATTCTAAGGAACGGTAGAAGGGAGAACAGTGAAATACAGACAATGGATTTCAGGAAGGCAGATTTTAGTAAACTCAGAGAGCTGGTAGGTAAGGTTCCATGTGAAGCAAGACAAAGAGATAAAACAACTGAAGAGAGTTGGCAGTTTTTCAAAGGGATATTATTAAGGGACCAAAAGCAAACTTCTGCTGCATAGGAAAGATAGAAACTATGGCAAAAGACTGCCTTGGCTTAACCAGGAACTTTTGCATGATCTAAAAATGAAAAAGGAGTTATATAAAAGTGGAAACTAGGTCAAATTACAAAGGATGAATATATGGAAACAATACAGGTATGCAGGAGCAAAATTAGAAAGGCAAAGACACAAAATGAGATCAGTCTAGCTAGAGACATAAAGGGTAACAAGACGACACTATAAATGTATCAGAAGCAAGAGGAAGACCAATGACAGGGTAGGCCCATTGCTGAGTGAAGAGGGAGAAACAGTAACAGGAAACTTGGAAATGGCAGAGGTGCTTAATAATGTCTTTGTTTCAGTCTTCACCAAGAAGTCTGACGATGAAGGAATGCCTAACATAGTGAATGCTAGTAGGAATGGGGAAGGTTCAGAAGATGAAATAAAAGAAGAACAAGTTAAAAATTACTTAGAAAAGTTACATGTCTGCAAGTCACCAGGGCCTAATGAAATGCATCCTAGAATACTCAAGGAGCTGACAGAGGAGGCATCTGAGCCTTTAGCTATCGTCTTTGAAAAATCATGGATGATGGGAGAGATTCCAGAAGACTGGAAAGGGGCAAATATAGTGCCCATTTATAAAAAGGGAAATAATAACAACCCAGGAAACTATAGACCAGTCCGTTTAATTTCTGTGCCAGGACAGATAATGGAGCAAGTAATTAAGAAATGCATCTGCAAACATCTGGAAGAAAATACAGTGATAGGTAGCAACCAGCATGGATTTGTATAGAACAAATCATGTCAAACCAATCAGATAGCTTTCTTTGATAGGATAACAAGTCTTGTGGATAAAGGAGAAGTGGTGGACATGGTATACCTAGACTTTAGTAAGGCATTTGATACAGTTTTGTTGATAAGAAGATCTTGTGAGACAAATACAACTTAGATGGGGCTACTATAAGGTGGGTAAATAACTGGTTGGATAACCATTCGTAGAGAGCAGTTATTAATGGTTCACAATCATGCTGGAAGGGCATAACAAGTGGGGTTCCCCAGGGGTCTGTTTTGAGACCAGTTCTGTTCAATATCTTCAACAATGATTTAGATATTGGCATAGAAAGTTTGCTTATTAATTTTGCAGATGATACCAGCTGGGAGGGGTTGCAGCTGCTTTGGAGAACAGGGTCATAATTCAAAATGATCTGGACAAAGTGAAGAAATGATCTGAGGTAAATAGGATGAAGTTTAATAAGAACAAATGCAAACTGTTCCACTTAGAAAGGAACAATCAGTATCATGCACACAGAATGGGAAGCTACTGTCTAGGAAGGAGTACTGCAGAAAGAGATCTAGGGGTCATAGCGGACCACAAGCTAAATAAGAGTCAACAGTGTGATACTGTTGCAAAAAAAAAAAAAAAAAAAAAAAAAAAAATTCGTCTGGGATGCATTAACAGGAGTGTTGTGAGCACGACACAAGAAGTCGTTCTTCCGGACTACTCTGCACTGATTAGGCCTCAATTGGAGTATTGTGTTCAGTTATGAGCACCACATTTCAAGAAAGATGTGGAGAAATTGGAGAAGGTCCAGAGAAGAGCAACAAGAATGATTAAAGGTCTAGAGAACATGAACTATGAGGAAAGTCTGAAAAAATTGGGCTTGTTTAGTTTGGAAAGGAGAAGACGAGAGGGGACGTGATTGCAGTTTTCAAGTATCTAAATGGGTGGCACAGGAAGGAGGGAGAAAAATTGTTCTCTTTGGCCTCTGAGGATAGGACAAGCAGCAATGATCTCAAACTGTAGCAAGGGAAGTTTAGGCTGGACATTAGGAAAAATTTCCTAAGTGTCAGGGTGGTTAAACACTGGAATAAATTGTCTAGGGAGGTTGTAGAATCTCTATCTCTGGGTTTATTTAAGAGCAGGCTAGATAGACATCTATCAGGGATGGTCTAGATGGTGCTTGTCTCTGCCTTGAGGGCAGGGGACTTGCCTTGATGACCTCTCAGGGTACCTTTCTGTTCGAGTGTTCTATGATTCTATGTCTACACTATGGGAAAGCCTTAAAATTAATCCGAGGCAGGCTCCGTTAATGTGGATGAGCTTTCTCGACTTAGAGCCCCAGGAAGCACTGGGGAGTGATTAGTTTGAATTACTCTGGGGAGTAGTTATTTTGAAATAGCAGCAGTGGAGTGTCCATGCTACTGCTACTTTGAAATAACGATTTCAAAATTAGCATTATTCCCTGAGCAAAGTAGGAGTACAAATTTTGAATTCCAGGGCCCATTATTTCAAAAAAATGGGATTGGTAGTGTTGACGTTCCATTTATTAATTGGACCTAAGAAGAGGTTATTTTTGTAATAAAGCCTTAGTATAGACCAGGGTACAGGGAAGAAAGGATTGGACTTGCAGATCCAAACACTTTTCTTATTCTTGAGCCTTAGGGTGTGTCTAGACTACCTAGTTGTGTCGACAAAAGTGGACTTTTGTCGACAAAACTATACCAGAGTCTACACTACTGCTGAGTTCTGTCGACATAACGTCGACAGAACTCAGCAGTTTTGTCGACGCTGGTATACCTCATTTTACGAGGCATAACACCTTCTGTCGACAGAACTCAGCAGCTTGCTTTGTCGACAGAACTCAACGTGTCTGGATGCTCTTTGTCGACAGAAGTTTTGTCGACAGTACCTGTCGACAAAACGCGGTAGTCTAGACGTACCCTTAGAGACATGGACCAGGCAAAAATAAGACACCACATGCACAGAAGGGGAGGGAGTGCTTCTTCTTATTCCTCCTCCTCCTCCTGCCTGGCTATGTTGTCAGAAGGCAAGAATGAGCTGAGAGTTAGACAGGATAAAGGTAACATGAATCTTAGGTTAAGAAAAGAGAGCAAATATTCTTGGCATATCGTTCATGGGTTAAAATTAGAGAATGGCCCGTTACCAAACTGACTCTCAATCATTAACACCTTGTAGTTGGGTAAATGAAGTTCAGATCAGGGGTTTGTATCAAGCAGTTTTAAGGATAGGGACATCTGTAAAATCTGGATCCAGGTTTGGATTCAGACTGTCCGCCCCAGCATGCTTTGATAGGTTTGAACCTAGTGTTCTAGTTGATCCCACTACTAGTTAAAAGCCACTTTGGCATTTGTGAAACACGTCATCACAAAGTTCTTATTCTCTCAGAACTGGGGAACCAACAGCCTGCACTGGTCCCTGGGCAAGGTGGGTGGGTGTCCAGCTCTGTTCTCCCAGAAGAGGTGGGGCCACAGGCAGAAAGAGTGGGGCCAGAGAAGCCAGCCCTCTACACTGCCCAAAGTGCAGCAATCCTGCACATCCCACAACCCCATGGAGTGCGCAGCATGGCACTCGTGTGGCAATTTAAAGGTAGCAGTGGTGGGGGCCAGGAGACAGGGGCCTCTTTACACCTCCCCGCAACCCTCAGTCGACAGACCTGCTCAGAACATCACTGAGTTAGGCCAAGTACTAGGCATATATTTCCCCATATGAAAGTAGCTATGTGCCACACACATAGGATACCAACACTATTTACTTCAGAAATTATTTGAGTGTTATTTGTTTTATAATAGTCTGGATCATACTTACCGCATTTAAGTTTTGTTTATTGTGTCCAGTAAAAGAAGAGAGGGTGCATGCACACAACTTTTTCATTTTGGTACATAATAGAGCTAAAGGCTTTTTCAGTTGTTCATTCTGATGAAAGACTCCTTTTGTTCCAAGTATAGTCTGAAAAGAAAATTATTCATTCTATTTTTCCTTACCACAATAGGTGTCTTTTTATAGTTCCATTTCATACAGATATGTTGCCACCCTAGTCTCAAATGTGAGCTAAGTATTCAAAGCTTGACAAAACCTTCTGCCATCCTATAACACTTCAGCCTGAATCCTGGCCTTTTTTCCCCTCAGTTTAGTGAGTGATAATCATGAATGAAATTTTCTGACATTCTCAAGACAATGAGCTCTGTTTCAGAAAATGTGTTAGTTGCACACATACATCCCAGCTTCATGTCATGCTGCCAAAGTAGTTATCTAGCCTCTGCTAAATGTTCAGTTATGATGAATTATGGGAAATAGGAAAGACCTTCCAGTGAAGCCAGTGTAGGAGATTTCAATAATTTTAACTACATGAGAAGTCTGAAGAGTCTGCCTTATTATTATGATTAACATCATTAGGAAGAAAAACAATTTGACTCCAATGCTACGTTTCTTAAAGGACCACACAACCCCTTTTTTGATCCAGGTTGTTAGCCAAAATTTCCAGTTAAGGGAGAAATTTATGATAGAGTTGAGGAGCCTTTGATGTAATACAGTTTATTTACAAAGAATGTAGACAGTTCTGTTTCTCTGAAGCCAGGAGAGCCAACATAGCTAGAGATAGCCTCCTTGCTCTCAGCTGCAAACCCTCCCTCACTTCCCTTTTTGCCACTAGTCCATCCAAAAACTCTTTCTAGGCTTCTCTTGGGGCCAGACACCATGTTTTTCTAGGCTGTGGCGGGAGCTTCCTTCTCAATTTGTTTTTGTATGCTTTTCACACCTCGGTTTCTCGGTCTCATGCACACACTATTCAGACAATACCTGGCAAGCGCCCTCTGTCTACACACAGTTCAAATTCTTGAGTGACCTTGGATGTGCCTTAGTTTTGGGTGGAGCTCACTATTACTTCACAACAGAACTTAACTCAGGGCTACTCAGCATGGAGCCCACTTGTTTGTGGCTCATGATACAGTTTGGGGTTACGTAGGGCTTAACACATGGTCCATGGGTGGGATCCTTTGAACATGGCCTCTACTGGAAACACGCTCTACAACAGCAAGTCAATATGATGGTCTTCTGTTGATATGCGTTTTAGTAGTTAAATTCCTGGACTTTCATTCCTCATTAAAAAAGTGCTGTCGGGTGAAAATTGGGTAAACATTGCATTTTATTAATATCAACAAAACTGACTAAAATGGGGCCTGCGTGTTGTGTAGTCTTGCCTTAATCTTTGTATTCATTCCTGTCAATGTGAAAGAAGCTATTTGCAATAGTTGCATGTATATGCAACCACACTTAAGTTGCGGCCCTCGGCAGGTGCTGTATCATTGTGGCCCCTGGGGCTTCCTCAATTGAGTAGCTCTGGCTTAACTGTTTCTATCATCTTAAATGATGATGAGGGGGGAGCTGTATCCACCAGCATCACAATGAGGTTATGAGATTTCAGTGATTTTTTTTTAAACTATTTGGGAAGTATCTGCACTAGTCTGTAATTATGACTAATTTAGATTTAATTAATTTTAATTTACTTTTAATATAATTAAACTCATAAAATTAATAAAATAATAGGACTTATTTTTAAATTCCCAGAAAGTACATTCTGTTCTCCAAAAATAAGGGCTGTCATTTTGAGGAGGATATTCTATAGTCTTCATCTCTAGCAAAGTGGTTGAATTCCAGCTTTAAATATTAAGCTCAACTCACTTTTAGCTACAGAACTACAACCTGCACTTTTGTGATATTCTTCTACCCCAGACCAATGTTGTGGTAGTGATATCTTTGAAATTGCTTCCGGTATAATTTTCAAGCTTGCTTTGCATATAGAATACTATAAACTGAGTTAGTATGTGTGTATATGCAGGCTGAGGGGAGCAGTTCTCATAGTGCCCATGGAAGGGCTTTTCCAATTTAACTTCCAGCTCTCTCCATAGACAGAGGAACAGAATTTTAAGAAGTTGCATGACATGCTGCAACTGTGTCTCATGTCTGGTCTCTCTGAATGCACCTTTCAGGTCTGATGCCTTTTTTCTGTCCTGGGGTAGAATTTTACAATTCTCCCACACTTAGGCTATGTCTCCTGTGACAGGGTCAGGCCAGGGAGCTGTTGCAGAGAGGGCCTATTTGAAATCATGGGAAGGTGGGCGGGCAAAGCCCGCCCACATTCTAAAAGCCCCTCCCCAACCTTATGGGAGGGACACTGAACCCATGTTCAACTGAATCCGGGGGACAAAAAATGACAACAGGGTCAAGGAGTGCGGGCTAGAGGTTCAAAATAAGGGAGCCGGATGGGGACACCGAGCAGAGAACCCCGGACAGCGCCCACTGTTCCTCAAAGCTGTCGATGGAGCCAGTGGACGCCGCCCAGAGGAACTCTGCCCGGATTCGTGACACGAGGGAAGACAACAAACATGATGAAAGGTCTAGAGAACATGAGCTATAAGGAAAGACTGAAAGAATTGGGCTTGTTTAGTTTGGGAAACAGAAGACTGAGGGGGGACATGATAACAGCTTTCAAGGATCTAAAAAGGTGTTGTAAGGTAGAGGCAGAAAAATTATTCTCATTATCCTCTGATGAAAGGACAAGAAGCAATGGGCTCAATTAAATTGCAGCTGTGACAGGGTCAGGCCAGGGAGCTGCTGCCAAAAGGGAAAAACTCCTGTTAGAAAAGCAGAGAACTGCAGCCCAATTAGATGCAGCTGGGAGGGAGCTGGCTCAGGCAAACTGGGGCCAGCTGACTTCTCTGCTGTCTGTCTGAGGGCCTTTAAAAGCCTCAGCAGTTAGAGGCTGGGGAGGAGAGGGAGAGGATGAAAGGAAGGTGGTGGAGAGGCAGAGAGGAAGAAACTGGAGAGAACAAGGTTGACCAGCATTATGTAAAGGCAGCAAAGGAGGGAGCCTGTGGGCTCCTGGCCTGGGCTCCCTACCACTGAGACCCGCTGCAAAACCCTAACTTGGGGGGCTAAAGGGAGGAGGCCTCACCAGTAGTGGCTTGGGGAAGAGGCGCCCTTGCCACACTCCAAAGAAAAGTTGGAAAAAGATATGCAAATTGGAAACTGCACTTTGTGTATCTTTTTCACTTTTCTTCTGAAAAAGGCTTTTCCAACATTTGGCCCATCTACATGGGGCCAAATGTTGGGGGAAAACCCTCTTTCAGAACATCCCTTAACTTCATTCTACAAGGAAGTACAGAGATGCCAAAAAAAACGTGTCTGCTTTTCCAAATTTTTTTCTGAAAAAGTAGATGCATTCATTGGACGCAGCAGAGCTTTTCCGGGATCCCTCTGGGATCCCGGAAAAGCTCTGCAGTGTAGACATAGCCTTAGACTGGGTTCTGGGCTACAGTTCTCTACATATGAACCATGTGTATACAGTGGTTCTGCCTGGATTTGGCCACCTGCAGTTCATCCCTTCGGGAGTCTGTGACTGGTAAAGTACAGAGACCAGCCTTCTTAGACAGAAGGATTTTTTTTTTTTTTTTTTTTTTTTGCAGTAGGAACATGACTTTTAGGTTAAGTCTAGCCTGCAAGCCTCTTTCGAAAGAGGCTTTTTCAAAAGAAAGCACCCAGGCAGTCTGGATGCTCTCTTTCGAAAAAACCCTGTTTGCATTCAAGAATGCCTTTTTTCGAAAGAGCACTTTCAAAAAAAGGCGTTCTTCCTTGTGGAATTAGGTTTGCCGCCGTCGAAAGAAAAGCCGCGTTTTCGATTTAATTTCGAAAGAACGTGGCTGTAGTCTAGACGCAAGTGAAGTTTTTTCGAAAAAAGGCTACTTTTTTCGAAAAAACCCTTGAGTCTGGACACAGCCTTATAGAAAAACATTTTAAAGAAACAGTCTATCTTGCCATACTGCAGTGATAACTAGGCTGGCCTCACTACTTCAGATACCCAGAAGTCTGCTGTCCCAGTCTTGTTCCCCTTAGCTTTCTCTCTTGAGAAAAGGTCACTTTAAAAAAACTGCAATACTGCTTTTGTTCTTCTAGGCCAGGGTTGGGCATTAAGACAGTGGCAGTTCACCAGTGTTAGCTCCTGGTGGGCTGCTGCCACTATATTTACCTGTGCCTCTGTAGGTACAGATGCTTGCAGCTCCTGTTCCCGGCCAATGGGAGCTACAGGCAGTGGTGTGGACTGGGATACCACTTCCCACAGCTCCCATTGGCCAGGAAAGGCCATCAGTGGTCAATGGGAGCTGTGATTGCCTGTATCTGCATAGGCACAGGTAAATACAGTGGCAGTGGCCTGCCAGGGGTTAACTCTAGGGGACTGCATCCAGCCTTTGGGTTGGTATTTGCTCATTGCTATTCTAGGCTTAGCCAGAGATCAAAGTAAAGGCTTCCGGGGCAACAGGACATTTACTGGCCCCTAAGAACTTGAGTGTTTAAGGGGTGAATTGTCTTGAGCCATTCTTTTCTTTCTTGCATGCTTTTCATACAGACTCTTGTTGAGTTAAACTAATATACCCTAATAACCAGGCCAACATGCAGTATTTGTAAATCTTTGGAAAGCAGCTCCAAGTCCATCATAGAAATATTTGAATAAGCAAATATTCAAGGTCAGATTTTTAGCTGTATTGAGTTTACTTCCCAACTCTTTTAGCCTCTGTTAGAATAATCCTTGGCTGTTTCTTTTAGGCAGAACTGTTCAGGTGGAGTTGAAGCCAATAGATGAAGGAATGACATACCTTGAGCATTGTTTCAGGAAGTCTCAAAAGCTTTATCACAGGGCTTCTGGCAAATGTAATTGTGGCTATTGGCCCCAAGGCAAAGAACATTTTTATTCTTTGAGCCAACTCTGGCAGAAGTGAAAATGCGACAAAACCTGAGAAAATATAAATGATTTTGTGTTATTGCAAATCAATCATCGACAATTAAAATAAATAGTTACTAGGAAGCAAACTGAAGGTTAAAATCTGTAAGCTTTTTATCAATTCAAATTCTATGCATTTATTCCATGTGTACTGAAATAGGACAAAAGTAATTGGCTGAATCTGCAGCAAGGGAGATTTAAATTCAAGATTAGGAAAAACTTGCTAATTATAAGGTTTGTTGAGCTCTAGAATAGGCTTCCAAGGGCACTTTTGGAATCCCCATCATTGGAGATTCATAATAACTGGTTGGAAAAATACATGTCAGGAAAGATCTAGGTTAACTTAGTCCTGCTTCAATATAAGGGGCTGGACTTGAGTTTGAGGTCCCTTCCAGTCCTATGATTCTACAGTATCATAGCAAAATATTCATCAAATCTCCAATAAGTCTTCATTGGGGAAAAAAAATAAGTTTTTTGGGGTATTGTTCAGATGGAGTTAGATGGCCAAGAGCCAGATTATAGTGTCAACCCATTGCGATGTAGAACCAAATTTTCTATTACCCTGATTTCTGATGATTCCAGAATCTTTTCTATTAAGTTTCCAAAATTCCTGTAAAATATTTTCTGAGTTGCATAGTGCTCAGTTTCTAAAACACTATCTATATGATTGTAAATTTATAACTATACATATTGGTCCAACAACAGAGAGACCCAGGCACAAAGATTGCCAGTGGCCAATGGTGAGCTGAGGGCAGGGAATCCTGCCAGCTAGGGGCATGGAGCCCTGCCATGGTTGGAGTGAGGCCGGTCCAGAGAGAAGCGCTGCCGGCCGGGGGCACGGAACAGAGCCCACACTGGCTGGGAACACAAAGCACCTGCAGGAAGGGTGGAAAGTGTGGCTGGTGGCCTAGAGAGGAGCCTAGCCAAAGGGCTGGGAGCAGCAGAACCCAACAGGCGAGCTGGGGGCAGTGCACTGGCCAGGGCCACTGCCAGGAGGAGAGCCTGGGAGAGCCCGAGGCCTGACATTCCTTGGTCTAGCAAACTCCCTTGTTTGGGACTGCTCAGGTCCGCAGGATGCCAGAACTGGGAGGTCCATCCTGTAGTGTAATTCTCATGAAGTTTCAGTTTTCAATTGTGACCCTTAGTGTAGAGACCCTCCCTACATGGCGCACAACTTGAAGATTTAATTGTTCACATACAAAAATATATTTAAAAGATTATTAAAACTGTCACTTAAATTCACAAAGCTGGCTAATGTTCAGATAAGAAACACTCTACTGTGAATACTCATTCAATTCCACAGTGTTCTAAAGAGCAACTAAAATGGCCTTATGATGCCTATGTATGGTACTATTTGTATTCTATGGCTGGAATTTTCGAAGGTGCCTATGGGAATTAAGCACCCAACTTCTATATGTACCTTTGAAAATCCCAAGCCAACTGTATGTTTTATCATGTCTGTCTTAAGTTTCTAAGAATATTCTTACTGGAGGAGGAAAAGGGGAAAGAGATATTAAGCAAAAGGAGTGGTAACCTGCTTCTTGCACTGCCATATCCTTCAGCCATCTTTTCCCTACCCATTTTCCTTTTTCAAAGGGAAATGGTGCAACATGGCATATAAGCCTATATCTCCCCCATGGCACCGCCACCAATGGATCCCAAGGATAAACCAGTAACCCTCAAGTGACTATGAACAAATCATGTCCCTCATTGCATTCAGACACTAGAGAATGAATTGACTTTCTGTTCTGATGATATGATCAATAAACAATTTGTAGATATTGATTTAATAGCTATAGTACAACCAATTTGTTTTTAAATAGAATAGCCAACACCAAACACACAACAATCATGCATTAGGCCCCACTAAGACAATAAGATTGGCTTGAAATTTAATAATGTTTAGATTCTCTTTATTTGCCTTCTGGTATTTGAGCCCCGAGAAGTTGTGTTTTTAATCTTTTCTCCAAAACATGAGGGTTAGAAAGTGCTTTTAAAAAAAAATCACGAAAGCTGAGTTTCTCAGCTAATAGCACTGACTCAAGGAGCTACCAACAAATATTGTGAGGCTTGTGATAAAAATCACAGGTGCTGGCAAGACTAGAATAACCAAAGACTGCAGACAAGCTTTCACACTGATCACCTGCAAAATAATAGGTTATGACATCACCAAATCCTAACGGGATGTCAGGAGCCAATTTGTTTGCTTAGTTCTGGAAAAAAACTGCTCTGAGAAATGTTACCCAAATATTGACAATTTCAGTTTAGAAAATATTTCTATCTTTAAATTTTAAGTGAGGGAGAAAGGGCATTAATAACTGAAGTCCACATCCTGCTTTCAATATACTGTGAGGATGTAAATCAAACGCTATGGTACACCAGATTGCATTCCTTAACCTACCTACAGTTGTGCCCTCTGAATGGGCAATATAGTACAGCTGCTTTTGTCCCGTTTTATTCATGGCAAAGTAGAGAACTGCTGGAATGTCATATTTACCAATCTCATCAAAACTACAGAGAGGAAACACAAAAGGCTTAGATGCATTAATTATACTAGTCCCAACTGCATTAGAATGCACATTAGTAAATCTCAGGCTTGTTAGCTAAGTCAAACAAGAACAATTCAATGATTAAGTGAAACCATTTAGAGCAGTGATGGGCAACCTACACTAGTGAGTGAGCTGCATGAATGTCCTTCATCTCAGCAGGCCATAAGATTGTCGTAACCAAGACAGTTTCTCGGAATATGGTAGTTTTGCTAACTGAGCTTTAGTGCCTAGAATTTATAGGGTATGCAGATTGAACCAAAGCCTATGCTTGGATTGGATGCAGAGAGAGTGCATGGCTCACAATCAATATTGTGTGCAATTAGCACACACCTCACTTCATATTCCCTTGTTTTACCTGTGCGTCACTTTTAGTAATACCGGTAGAAAATAAAACCTATGCAGATTGAAACCAGCAGATTCTGGCAACCCTGTGCATGGGCAGTGGTAAACAAAATGTCCCGTGGGCCACACATAGAACCCTGATGGCCACATACAGCCCTCAATATTGCCTACTACTGATTCAGAGGTTTGGGTTCACTTCAGAAGGTAAGGCAGCTCTGACTCCAGAGATTGAGGCTGATGCATGTCAGCTAGAATGTTCTAGAACAATGTTCTAGACCACCAAGCCATGGACCTTTCCCCATGCCCTTGAGGAGCTATAGACAGGAGAACCCTTCAGTCTCATACCAGTTCTGATATTTGAACTCTGATATTTGAACTTCTTCTGTCACACTTCAGCCCTAATGAATGCCCCTTTCCAGATGCCTTTCTATCATCTCGTCCATCCTGCCGGTTCTTTGTAGACCACTTCCCATCCCTTGGGTCACTATCAATCTGAGCTAGGTATGGACTAATAAT